TTCAGATAGAGCAGGAGGGAGAGAGGGAGGAAGAGAGAGAGAGAGAGAAACATCCATGTGAGAGAGACAGATCAAGTGGTTGCCACCCACATGACCCCGACCAGTGCCGGGGACAAACTGTAACTGAGGTACGTGGCCTTAGTGGGAACCGAACTCAGGGCTCTCTGGTTGACAATGACTGATAAGAATAGCACACAGAAAAGTTTTTATTCCATCATTTTGCCTGGCTCTTTTTACAAACCACTGGTGTTTGACACTTGGACTTAAGGTACTTGAGGAAAATACAAAGGTGAGAGAGAACAAATGCCACCATTGTGAACACCATCTTCCTTAATAGGCAAGACTGACATGGGGAAAAAGCCAGTGAGAAGCAGTATGAAAAACATATGTGCACTGCAACTGTGTGCTTTTGCAGTTGCAGAAATTTATAGTAGATAGCAACACATCTTTCCAAGATCACAAAATACTTCCTATGTTCTCATTGAAAATAAAGATGACATTTATTGGATTATCATGACAGTGTCTTATGGACTTCTTGTATGATAATCACCATCATGTGCACCAATCCTTTCTGAGCATTCTTTACATTCATGTGTTTCTTCTATTTGGTACACATCCACTGTTAATCATGTTTCCTGGCCGTGTGGCTCAGTGGATTGAGCGTCATCCCATGGACTGAGAGGTCCCGGTTTGATTCCTGGTCAGGGCGCATGCCCAGGTTGCAGGCTCAATCCCCAATAGGGGGCGTGCAGGAGGCAGCCAATCGATGTTTTTCTCTCACATCAATATTTCTTTCTCTCCCTTCCTCTCTCTCTCTCTCTAAAAAAAAACAAAAAACAAAAACAAAAACAAAAAAATACATTAAAAAATGAATAAAACATGTTGAAAAACAGGTAATTTTTGATGGCTTACTAAAATAAGTTATAGATGTCTCTATTGCATTTTATATTTAAATGTATTTTGTAGATGTTTTATTTACCCCAAACACTTCATAGAAAAATCATTATAACCAAAAGGATACTTGATAAAGTAGCAGTGTGTTTTATAAACAGTAATATTTAATGAAAGAATGTCTTTGTAGAAAATTATATTTAATTTTAGCTAAGTGGATTTCTCATGCTTTTGATAATACCGTATAATTGTCTGTGACATAGCTTTTTCTGATTTTTTTTAACCTTATACAACTTATAACTGATTGTGAATTTTATTCCCTTGCTTTTCTTGGAATCTGGGAAGATATTTAAAAATTATTTCCCCAGTGAGTGTGTGTGTGTGTGTAAATATGGACAGGTCAGTTGGTAACAGTTTATCTGTAGCTGCTTATGAGGAAGTTGTAAACACTAATGCAGCTACTCACATGATGAAAAGATATTCCTAGGCAAGTGAAATTGCTTATTTTGTACATGTTTTTTAAAATATGTTTTTAGGATTTTTGGGCAGAGAGAAACATCAGTCAGCTGCCTCCTGCACACCCCCTGCTGGGAATCGAGCCTGCAACCTAGGCATGTGCCCTGACCAGGAATCAAACGAGCACCCTCTTGGTGCATGGGATGATGCTCAGTCCACTGAGCCATAATGACCGGGCTGTGTACACATTTTTAAATTGCTTGTCTGTTTCGGGGCCTTAACCTTATTCAGCCTATTTATTTTTAGTGGTTCAGTAATATTTCAAGTGCATATTGTCTCTTTCAATATCAACAGGAAATTGATGGTGAAGGTTGGGCTGATTATCAGTATTCCCCTACCACTAATAGACAGAATACAACTTGGACAATGTAGCTGAACAGTCCAACAGAAAGATGACTTCTTCTAACTCTCTTTAGAATCTGTCGAGTGCAGTGTCTCAGATAATACCAGGTGTACCAGCATAGTTAATACATATTGTTCCATATTTTGATATGTGACTAATGAACAAGATTAGCAGAAAGGTAGGTTATCTTGTAGCTGGTGTCCAGGGTAAAATTTGCAGTTTTCATGCACATGAAATTTTACTTGCATGCTCTAATGTGCCATTACTATAAATTTCTAAATGGAAAAAAACCCTTAATGTCATTGTTGTTCTATACTAGAAGGAATTATTACCTAATCATATCCATCCTAACTTAGTCATGTTCCGTAAAATGGTTGAATTTAGAAAGACAGTAGGTATATTATGCCATACTTAGAGAATGTCCATTTTTGCTACTATAAATGTATATTTTTATTATAGCCTGATTATGCAATATTTTAAGGATGTTTCAGAAAGTAACATAAAGACTACCATGTAGCCATTCACAGTTTTGTCAGATCTTAGCGTTTTGCCATATTTGCTCTCAATATATTTTTAAAAGAAACACCAGTTAAAACCTTCCATGTGACTTTCACTCTCTCCCTTCCCAGAGATAACTACTATCCTGAATTTAGTGCTTATAATTTCCCTCGATGTTTGTGCACTTTGACTGCATATATATGTTTACATAAATGATATATAGTATTTTGCATATAAAGTTTTGAAACTTTTTATAAATCATATTACTCCGGACCAGTAATTTTCAGCTGGCAAGAATTTTTAAAATGTGCAGTACCTCACTATTTAGTCAGAAGTACTGACCTCTTTTCCCTTGGATTGTCAAATCAAAAAATGACAACAGCCAGTGCAACAATAGCCATCTGGTGTGAATGAATAAAAATAACATAAGATTTTTTTTGGTCAGATTTGCAAAACATATATTTTTTAGTGTGCTGCTGAATTTTAGTAATTAGTTTATGTGTGCCATGAAATGAAAAAGATCGAAAATCACTGCTCTGGACATATCCTCCCCCAACTTGTTATTAGCATTCAATTTTTCTGATTTTGCCATTTATCTATGTTGCTAGATGGGACTGTAATTCATTCATTTAAATTGCTTACAGTCTTCCATTTTTCAATGTGAGAGATTAAATCAACTGTACTGTTAGGGGGTGCAGTCACCAAAAAACCACCCACAATTCTAACACCCGCTGCAAGTTTGGGGGATTCCCCCAAACACTCTCGGGTTTGATAGTTCATTAGAAGAACTCCCAGGACTCACTAAAAGCTGTTACACTTAACAGTTATTGCTTTATCACAGGGATCGGGTATTGACTGAAATCAGTCAGGGGAAGAAGTGCATTAGCTGGAGTAGAACGGGGTTCCGGAAGTGCAGCTTTCAGTTGTTCTCTCCCCACGGAGTCAGGACAGTGTTACCGTCCGACACTGATGTGTGACAGCATGCACAGAGCACAGCCAGCCTGGGAGGTTCAGCGGAGCTTCAGTGTTCAGGGTGTTTATTGGAGGCTGATCTCAGTCTCCAGCTTCACTGGAAGTTGACTGGTACCACATGACCCAAGGCCTCCAACCTAAATCACACTGTTCGTTTTTCTGGCAGGGCCGGTCCCTGGCCTAAGACTATCTGGTGTGTAGTTATCTCGTTAGACCGTCTGGTGGTGACCCACGGCACTCTTCATTTCAGGCTTGGCATTTCATGGACTTAGAGATCACCTCCCCGAAGCCGAGGACGAAGGCCAGACCTCTTTGTAGGCCAGGTTAAATTCTTTAGTACACAGAAATATAGCACATTTTATTTTGTCTCTTTTCTTCTTGATGGATATTTGGGTCACATGTGATGTATGTAAAATACTATCTATTTTATTTAACAAACGCTTATGTAATTCTTATTGTGTGCCAAGTACTGTTTAGCTTCTTTATAAATATTAACTCATTTAATCCCCAGAAGAATCCTCTGTGAAATAAATGCTGTTATTCTCATCTTACAGATGAGAAAATAGGCTACAGAGAAGTTAAATATCTTGTCAAAAGTCACACAGCCTGTAGACGGAATAGCTCGGACATGAACCGGGCAGTCAGAATCTTGCACATAAACCACTGTGCCATGCTGTCTAAAAGCAATGCAGCAACATATATTTCTATACCATCTTCTTGTATATATGTATAATAAGTTTTGTAAGATTCATCCCTGATAAAGTTGCTGTACTGTAGATGTGTACATCTTCAACTTTGCTTGATTCTGCCAAATTATTATCCAAACTGATATTTTTAAACTAGTTTAAAGAGATTTGCACATATCTTTCCTAGCCTGTGGCTTTTCATTTTTGTTGTCCAGATGTTTATACCTTAAATTACTCCATTTTCTCAGTTTTTTTTAATGAGTTTGCCTTTTGCATCTTATTTAAGAAATATTTCTTTCCCTCGAGGCCCCAAATATATCTTCCTATATTTTCATCTGGAAGTTTTGCCTTTTATATTTATGCTTTTCATCTGCCTAGAATTGATTCTGAATACAGTGTAAAGCAAGCATATAATTATTTTCTCTATATCATCTCAAAACCATTTTTTTCCAGTGGTTCATTCTCTCCCCACAAGTCTGTAATGCCACCGCTGTCATGATCATGTCTCTGGATACTTATGAGTCTTTGTATTAGTTTGCTATTGCTGCCATAACAAATTACCACAGAGTTACCTTAAAACAAAACAAATTTGTTCCAGTCCTAGAGGTCAGAAATCTAAAATGGCTGTATCTAAATCTAAAATCTAGCAGGGCTGTATTCCTTCTTCAGGCTCTAGGGAAGAATCTGGTTCTTGCTTTACCAGCTTCTAAAGGCTCCCTGCATTCCTTGGCTTGTTCCCCGCCTCCAGGAATGGTAGCACTAGAATCTTCCATCTTCAGGTCTTCTCTGACTTTGAGCCTCCTGCTGCCTTTCTTTGGTACCTTTCTGCTGAGCTTTGCTTAGGGATGCTTTTGGTTTGGTTACACATCTAGGCTTCCACGTTGTATTATTAGCAATAGGACTTAGGTTGGGTCAACATATTACTAATCTTACCTCTAAAATATTCTTAATACCATGATAGCGAAAATAATAAATGAGCAAAGTCATTTTTCCTGTAAGATCAATGATTAAATATGAGATATTTAAAAGAAAATAATGTGACCTTATTTTTCAACTCAAGAATTCTAATTCTCATTTTCCTATTCTCTTCCTAGGATGTGTGCTGTATTTGGTGGAATCTATTGTCTTCGCCATTCAGTCCAGTGCCTTGTTGTGGACAAAGAATCCGGAAAGTAAGGGTGCTATAAGTTACCTTCCTATATTTACACCCAAACACAGGTGAAAAATGCTAAAGTCGATTTAAAAAAAAATGGTTCTTCAAAGATCCTCCTTGGTGTTAATAACATATCAACCTTGATTAAAAGTAATTTGTGTTTAGATCCTCGAGAACAAGAAAGTGAGTTCAGAATATAGAAACTAAATTAATTTCCCTGCAATATGACTATAGCTCCTGATCATCCAAGCTTGGAAGACAAATCATTTCAGCTGCCGGGGGCGGGTGATGAGTGATTTTAGTTTTCCTTGTGGCCTTACCTCCTCTAATTGGTTTTCATCAGATGACAACAAAGCCCTCTGTTATTGCATTTTTAAAAATGGAGCTCACCTAAAGACTCATCAGATTAATCTCTGCTGATAATGCATGTCACTCCAAGAGAAAAAACTTGAATGAGTTTTTAGGTAGATTGTTGTCATAAACTGTGCTGCCCTGTTATCTGAGAATAAATTCTTTTACAGCCACATCAGGCCTGCAGGCTGGTTTAGGATTAAAATAAGACTGTACCTGCATTTTTATAAAGCTGAGCATCATCTGTGTATCTGTGCATTTTTATATTTAAATAATATTTTTTCTGGGATTTAATGTTTAGTTACTAAGTTATGCTCTTATCTGAATTACACTCAGTAAATAGTCTTCTATTTCTATGTTTTGCCTTAAAACTTAAATGGGTCAATTGGATCAAAATTGTGCCCCTTATGCCCCTGAATGAACCCCAATTGATTGTGTTGTATTATTTTTTGAAAATGTATTGTTTTCAATACATTTGAAAATGGATTTGATTTTCTAGTATTTTGTTTAGGATTTTTGCATATATATTCATCAGAGATATTGGTCTGTAGTTTTCTTCTTTGTGTGTTATCTAGGTTTTAGTATCAGGATTATATTGGTGTCATAAAATGTATTAGGAAGTATTGCCTCTTCAGTTTTTTTGCAAGAGTTTGAGAAGGATAGGTATCAAATCTTCCTTGAACGTTTGGTAGAATTCACTAGTGAAGCCATCTGGTCTTGGACTTTCACTTGTTGGGTGGCTTTTGATGATTGTTTCAATTTCCTCACTGTTAATCGGTCTATTTAGATTTTAAAGTTCTTTGTGATTCAGCCTAGGAAGGTTATGTATTTTTAGGAACTTACCCATTTCTTCTAGGTTACTGATTTGGCTGCCTATAGTCCTTCATAGTATTCTCGTATGATCCTTTGTATTTCTGTGGTGTCTGCAGTAACTTCTCCCCTTTAATTTCTGGTTTTGTTTATATATGTCTCTTCTCATTTTTCCTTAGGAGGATAGACAGGGGTTTGTCAACCAACTTGAGCTGCTTTTGTTCTTCTTTTTCTAAGATGTAAAGTTAGGTTGTTTACTTGAGATTTTACTTGTTTTATTTGTATTTTAAAATTTTTTGTAAGAGTTTAATTGAGCCAAACTGAGGATGTGTGCCAGGGAGCAGTATCTCAAATGCCTTGGAGAATAAGTTTTGCGGGTCTTTTTTCATCATCAAATTTTTTATATATTTTTTTCAAATTATTTAAAAATATTTCAATTACAGTTGACGTACATTATTATTATATTATTATTTTCAGGTGTACACCCAATGATTAAATATTACCTAACTTATTAAGTGATTAACCTGATAAATCTAGTAACCCTCTGATGCCATAATAGTTATTAGAATATTATCGACTATATTCCCTATGCTATACTTTACATCTCCATGACTCTTCTGTAACAGCCTTCATTCCCCCCACCCCCCCACCCCAGTCTGGCAACCATCAAATGTTCTCTGTATCTATGAGTCTATTTATTTTCTGCTTGTTTGTTTATTTTGTTTTTGTTTTTTTTAGATTTAATTGTTGATAGATATGTATTTATTGCTGTTATATTGTTTATACTTTTTATCTTTTTTTTTTTTCCTTAAAGAAGACCCTTTAATATTTCATATAATATTGGTTTGGTGGTGATAAACTCCTTTAGATCTTTCTTGTCAGGGAAGCTCTTTATCTGTCCTTTACTAAATGATAGCCTTGGTAGGCAGAGTAATCTTGGTTTTAGGTATTTGCTTTTCATCACTTTGAGTATTTCTTGCCACTCCCTTCTGGCCTGCAAAGTTTCTTTTGAGAAATCAGCTGACAGTCTTATGGGAAGTCCCTTGTAGGTAACTGACTGCTTTTCTCTTTCTGCTTTTAAGATTCTTTCTTTCTCTTTAACCTTTTGCATTCTAATTATGATGTGCCTTTGTGTGAGCCTCTTTGGGTTTACCTTGTTTGGGACTTTACACTTTTCTGCACTCTGTCTTTTTCCTTCACCAGGTTAGAGAAGTTTTTCTGTCATATTTTCAAATAAGTTTTCAATTTCTTGCTTTCTCTCTTCTCTGGCATCACCATGATTCTAATGTTGGTACTCTTGAAGTTGTCCCAGAGGCTCCTTATACTATCTTCATTCTTTTTTTCTTTTTTGCTGTTCTAATTGGGTGTTATTTGCTTCCTTATATTTCAAATCACTGATTTGATTCTCAGCTTTATCTACTCTAGTGTTGATTCCCTGTAAATTATTCTTCATTTTAGTTAGTGTATTCTTCATTTCTGACTAGTCCTTTTATAATGCCGTTGAGGTTCTCACTAAATTCCATGAGAATCCTTATAACCAGTGTTTTGAACTCTGTATTTAGTAGATTGCTTGTCTCCATTTTGTTTAGTGCTTTTTCTGGAGTTCTGTTCTTTCATTTGGGACAGGTTTCTTTGTCTCTTCATTGAGTGGTCTAATGTAGTAGGTGTTCTGTAGGGTACAGTGGCACAGCCTCCCTTACCACCCAAGCTGGGCACTCGATATGCACTGCCTGTGTGGGCTGTGTACACTCTCCTCTTATAGTTGAACGTTGATTGCTGTTGGCACATCAGTAGGTGGTATTTATTTACTCCCCACCTGATCAGCTGCAAGGACTGGCTGCAACCACCAGCCACCAACCACCTGCCACTGTGGAGGATTAGCTGTGCAGGGGCCCATCCCACAGAGCACGACTTGCTTTAGCAGGGCTCTGGTGCCCGCTGAGTCTACCCCTTCAGTGTGTCACTTGTGGAGGTGGTTGGGTGGTGCTTTGTCATGGTCTAGAGCTGTCTACTGGGTGCGCCAGCTCTGGGGCCTCCCAGGAGGTGCAGGCCAAGGTCAGCTGCTTCCTGTGTTCTGCCTGGGGCCACCCAGCATGAGCTACAAAGTGATCTGTAGGTGGCTGATACTTGTTCTGGGCTTGGAGGTACCCAGGAGAGGCCAAGCTGTCAACCAAGGGTGGCTGCTGCTACTGCCAGGGCCGGGGCCATTTAGTGAGTTATGAGTTAAAGGGATCACTGAGGCCAGATGCTGCTTGTTTGGGAGATTTCAGGATAATCGGAAACATGAGCCAAGACAGTTCATTCTTATGGAAAAGCCACCAGAAACAGCTTAGGTGGGCCTGAAAGTTGGATGGGGCAGGGCCTCGGGGGATTACCAGAGCAGGGCAAACAGTGTTAGTCAGGTGGATGGACTCTTAGATATGGCTCCCATCTGAGGGCTCTGTTGGGGAGAGCTCATCAAAGGAACAGTGGCCTCTTCCAGCACTTCTGTTTGGGAGAAAGCCGCCCCCCTCAAGCACCGTCCTGATGCCAGGCAATTCAGTTGTTCCCTGTATGTCCCTGGTGCCTTTCAAGTTGCTGTCCTATCACTGGAACTCAAAGGGAGTGAGTCCAGAGTAAGGTTTGTGCAGGTCACTTAAGATAAACTGCCTGGGACTATAGAAGCCTCCATCTCACTCAGCCTTAATTCTGCTGGTTTTTGCAGCCAGAAGTTATGAGGACTTCTCTTCCTGGTACTGGAACCCTGGGCTGGGGTGAGGGTACTTGTGTGTGGCTATGACCCCTCCTCTTCAGGGGGAGCCTCTGCAGCCCAGATAGCTATCCTGATTTTTATCTGCCACAGATGGGTTGTGGGACCAGCCTGTTACCCATCTCTGCCCCTCTTACCAGTCTTGATGTGGCTTCTTCCTTAACTCCCTAGATGTAGGACCTCCATTCAGCCAGATTTCAGGTGGTTCTGAATGATGGTTGTTTTGTAGGTTAGTTGTGATTTTGATGAGGTTGTGGGAAGAGAAGAGTTCCAGGTTTACCTATGGCACCCTCTGCTTTCTGGAGATGGGACTGTAATAATATAGACTTCCCTCTTATTACTGCTTTTACTGCATCCCAAAAGTTTTGATACATCATGTTGTCATTCTCATTGGTCTCTGTATGTCTTTTGAGCTCACCTTTTATTTCTATTTTGACCCAGTCATTTTTTAGTAGCATTTTGTTTAATCTCCACAACACACAGAAAACTCATCAAGACAGACAACAGTGTGGTGGTTACCAGAGGGAAGGGGGTCAGGGAGGTAATAAAGGGGAAATGGAGCCAAATATATGGTGAGGGAAGATGATTTGACTTTGTGTAGTGGGCACACAATGCAAAATGAAGATCATATATCATAGATATGTACAATTAAAACTTATATGATCTTATTAACCAATGTCACCCCAATACATTTTATGAAAAGGAAGAAAAAATAGGAATTGTTCATTGAGAAAATACCTTAATATCTTTTTTTTTTTTTTTTTAATCCTCACCCGAGGACATTTTTCCATTTTTTGTTCAGATAGAGCGGGAGGGAGAGAGAGAGAGAGAGAGAGAGAAACATCGACATGAAGGGACACATCGAGTGGCTGCCACCCGCACGACCAACCAAGGCCGGGGACAAACTGCAACCGAAGCACGTGCCCTTAGCGGGAACCGAACCCGGGTCTCTCCGGACCACAGGCCGATGCTCTAACCGCTGAGCCAAACCGGCCAGGGCGAGAAAATACCTTAATATCTTGAACTGGAAGTTTAAACATGTAAGTTTTAAGCTGTTTCTTTCATGTTACAATAATAGTCTATAGTTTAAGTGGCATAAAATGTTTGTT